CCCATAGAAAAAGAAGTTAACAATAAAAGATGCCAAAATTATGATGTGCCAACCTAAAATTGAAAGTGATGTTAATCCAATACAACATTAACAAACAATATAGACATATTCATCAGCTTACAACACACATGCATGCATGCATATTATGCAGAAAAATCGAAGTAGCAATATTGGCAAAGCGATCATCCCATACATTTCAACTCAATTCTATGACCTCTCAACTCTCATTAATGTGCCTAAATACTTTGATGGTTACTTTGATATTACTACGTTCATGCATTTGATACTCTCTCCTTCTTATAATAACACCCTCCTTCACTTCCTCTCTCTACAATCTTCAGCTCCACAACCTTCTCTATCTGCTATGGCCTCAAAAGCTTTAACCACTGGTTCTCACTCCCGAAATGGATACCGTTTCTCAGTCTTTGATGACTCAGATGAGGTATTCACCATGCTTCTTCGTCTTCTTACACTTTACTTTAATTGTTTTTGTTACATAAAATTTTTATAACTACAACTTGAACATTAGAATAATGAATATGAGATGAAGGCTTTGTTTGACGTTGTGCTGTGTCTTTTACAGGAAAATGGAGACTGCAATCTTCAACAGCAAAGGAAACATAATGAACGCACTTTTTCTTTGGCTGGAAGTGGTGAGCAATGAGCATTTTTTCTGTTAACTTAACTTTGGAATGAAAAATAAAGTTGTTTGTTATGTTTGTTTCTCCTTCTGGAGCTTTCTGATATTGAAATATTTTTTGCATGATTTTCTGAGCTCTTCTGTAGTAGCTAGTAAGGATTTTGAAGAGCAGAAACCATTCAACTATAATGAAGAGAAAGAGAAAGGAAATCAAGAAAAGAGAAGTCTGATGAGCAATGACATAGGAGAGGATGAATTCCTGTAACTTGTTTTCTCTCAAATACTCTATCATTGATTCAATGCTACTACTTTATATAAATTAGAATTCGCTTTCTTACTTTATGTGTTTCTTTAATTCGATTCTCGTGATCTTGTAGTTTGGCTGAGTCGAGGCAACCATTATGTCGCAAAGTAGCAATAGCTTCAAGCCTAATCAATCCATACCGCATAGTCATAGTCATGCGTCTCGTCGTCCTTGTTTTCTTCTTCCACTTCCGCATCACAACTCCTGTGCATGATGCATTTGCCTTATGGATAATCTCAGTGATCTGTGAAATATGGCTCTCTTTGTCATGGGTAATAGACCAATTCCCCAAGTGGTTCCCCATGACTCGCGAAACTTACTTGGAGCGCTTGTCCATGAGGTTCGATCGCGAAGGGGAGCCGAACCTTTTAGCTGCAGTTGATGTCTTTGTTACCACTGCAGACCCTTTGAAGGAACCACCGCTAATAACAGCAAACACAGTTCTATCAATCTTGTCTGTTGATTATCCAGTTGACAAAGTTAGTTGCTACGTCTCCGATGACAGTGCTTCCATGCTTCTCTTTGATACTTTGTCACAAACTTCTCAGTTTGCAAGAATATGGATTCCGTTTTGTAAAAAGTATAACATTGAGCCAAGAGCTCCCGAGTCTTATTTTTCTCAGAAAGTTGATTACTTGAAAGACAAGGTACTTCCAACATTTGTAAGGGACCGCAGAGCTATGAAGGTATATCCTACATCGATGTTTTTTAAAAATTATTTTTTCATATTGATGTTGTTCTATTTTTCTATGTGAGGCTTTAAGGCATTTTCCATTGCAATTATGCAGAGAGAGTACGAAGAATTCAAGGTGAGAATTAATGTACTTGTCGCGGAGTCTCAGAAAAAACCAGAAGAGGGGTGGGTGCTGCAAGATGGTACTCCATGGCCCGGGAATAACACTGACAATCATCCAGGAATGATTCAGGTTTGCTAATTTCATTAACTAAAAAATCAAGTCAAATTTTTTCATAGGATATCCTGAAGAGTTTATGATAATAATCCGAAAAAAACATATGGAAATTATAATAAGCTACTTTCATAAGCTCTCTCAAATTGTTTAATAAGTGCTTATGTCAGTATATCAGCTTAAGTAATTCAGTTCAAACATGTCATTTGGATAATGACTATAAACCAAGAACTAAAACGTATAAGCACTTATCTTTGTAGGTGTGTCTTGGAAGTGCTGGGGCTGTAGACAATGAAGGCAAGTCACTGCCACGGCTTGTGTATGTTTCGCGCGAGAAATGTTCTGGTTATCAACACCATAACAAAGCTGGAGCAATGAATTCTCTAGTAAGTAGTTTAAACTTCTAGTATATAGTTTTATTCCATTTAGTTACAAAAATTTGATATCATAAAAGCTGTTTATATAGTATAAGTCTTGAAATGCTTCATTTCCTCAACAGCTTCGAGTTTCTGCTGTGCTTAGCAATGCACCTTTTGTGTTGAATTTGGATTGTGATCAATACATCAACAATAGCAAGGCTATTAGGGAGGCTATGTGCTTCCTCATGGACCCTCTACTTGGAAAAAAGACAGCTTATGTCCAATTTCCACGAAGGTTTGATGGCATCGACGACAATGATCGATATGCTAATCACAACACTGTATTCTTTGATGTAAGGGATATTTTCCTAAACTCCGATGCAAGTTGCAATCTAATTAACTGATCTTTAACTCTTGCCTTGAATTTTTTTTCCTTGTTTGTAGATCAACATGAAATGCCTCGATGGAATTCAAGGTCCAGTTTATGTTGGTACTGGATGTGTGTTCAACAGACAAGCATTATATGGCTATAAGCCACCAACCGAGAAAAGGCAAAAGACGGGCTTTTCATGCTGCTGCTGTTGTTCTGATGACTCTCGGTCAAAACTGGACTTTGAAGAGATTGATGATGATTTTGAAGGCAATGATGAACAAGAGAAATCGTCCTTCATGTCCCTCAAAGTTTTTGAGAAAAAGTTTGGAGAGTCGCCAGTTTTCATTGCTTCTGCCTTGATGGAAGATGGTGGACTTCCAAAAGGCACTAATACGCGAATACTGGTGAAAGAAGCTATTCATGTTATAAGTATTGGGTATGAAGAAAAAACTGAATGGGGCAAAGAGGTAATCCATCAATACAATTATACAACAAGAACTCATTTCAGGATTGTTGAACAAAGTGTCTTTCATCCTTTCTTTGCAGATAGGGTGGCTTTATGGTTCAACCACAGAAGACATCTTGACAGGGTTTAACATACATTGCAAAGGATGGAAGTCAGTTTACTGCATGCCGGAAAGAGCGGCTTTTAAAGGATCTGCTCCTATAAACCTATCAGACAGATTACATCAAGTTCTGAAATGGGCTTCGGGTTCTACTGAGATTTTCTTTAGTGGTTATTGTCCATTGTGGTATGGCTATAGTGGAAAGCTTAAATGGCTTCAAAGGCTCGCTTACACGAACCACGTTGCTTATCCGTTCTCTTCCATCCCTCTTTTGGTATACTGCATAATTCCGGCTATCTGTCTTCTGACTGGAAAATTCATCCTCCCCACTGTAAGTTCATCAGAGTAAATTTACGATAGGAAAACAACAATGAGGATATTAGATTCATGTCTAATAACAAAAGTTATCTTTTGTGCAGCTAACAAGTCTTGCAAGCATTTGGTTAATGGCTTTATTTATTTCCATCATTCTAACTTGTGTGCTGGAGCTTCGTTGGAGTAAGGTTAACATTCAGGACTGGTGGCGCAACGAGCAATTCTGGGTCATTGGAGGTGTTTCTGCACATCTTTTTGCAGTGTTTCAAGGCCTCCTTAAAGTTGCAGGACTAGACAATCATTTCACCGTAAGAACGAAATCAACAGACAGCACTGCATCCGGACAGCTCCATCTCTTCAAGTGGACCACTCTTCTCATCCCACCAACGAGTATTGTAATTTTGAATATGGTTGGAATTGTGGCTGGAGTCTCTGAAGCTATTAACAGTGGCTATAACTCATGGGGACTTTTATTTGGGAAGGTTTTTTTCTCCTTATGGGTTATTGTTCACTTGTATCCTTTCCTCAAAGGTCTGATGGGTAGGCAAAACAGAACTCCTATCATAGTAGTTCTGTGGGCAACACTTCTAGCGTTGATTTTCTCAATGATTTGGGTGCGAATTGATGTTTTCTTGCCCAAGAAAACAGGTCCTGTACTTTCACAATGTGGGATAGAATGTTAAGGTTGTCGAGAAACGAGGGTGGCGATCTTCTCATTTCATCTAAAGATCTTTGTTTCATTGAGTATTTACCATTATGAGAAAGTGAAACAGTCGTGATTTATGATGATTCATCAGGAGTTGAAAAGTAAAGCTTGTTTTGTAAAATATGCTATGGTTTTTTGTTATCATTGAAGCATAATATGATTTATGGTGCAAGAACCACTGGGTTAATTAAAATTTTAAAACTAAAGCTTGTTTTCTAACATATATGTGATAAATTATTTACATATCTATATGCAAGAATCACTGTTTCTTGTTATCATCAGTATATGATTTGTTGATATTATTGCAGCATAAAATATTTACATCTCAAGATTCATCTAGATGACTTCTTATCTCAAATGACTGCCAAGCATATTTCTTTGATTGACACAAGATATCAAACTATCTTTCTATGATATCATAGTCTACACCAGCTAGCTATCTTGGAATGCACCTAATATATGGAGTAATTGAAAACAGGAGCCAAAAGAGTTATATGAAACTTACTGTGCCATGGAATAATATGATATAATAAGAATGAAAATAGGCTGAAAAAGTTACATATATAAGCCACAAACTATAAGCTCAAAATAATGCAGTCTTGCCAAACAAATAAGGCACAAACTATAAGCTGTTGCCAAACAGATAAGGGACAAGCTATAAGCTCAAAAATACGGTCGTGCCAGACAGAGCCATAATTGTACCTTAAAGCCAAGTATATTACAAAAGCAAATCACACATTACACCATATCTCATCCATAGAAAGAATTAAAAAAATACATTCCAAACACAATATACTTTTTCCCATAGACAACTTCTTTGTAAACTTTTCTAAGCTACACAGGGAACACAAGTAGAAGCAGCTTCTGCATCACCTCTATTCAATATTTTCTCTAACCTTGTCTCAATAGGGCAGTATCCCAAAGGAGCAGAAATTAACATGAGTCACTAACATCACCTCTATTCATTGCTTTCTCTAGCCTTGTCTCAAATGGAGTTGTGTGCCAATTCACCTTCCTATCCTGCACAACCAGTTAAATCCAAATAAGAACTCACCATCAAACTATTGATTTAACAGCTTATTTCACTTCGTCTTTACCTCTCTGTACTTGCTAGTTGTGTTTGGAATTCCTTTAAAGGATGAAGCTGAACCAGAATCCTCAGTAAAATGCCAATAGGACCCAACTGTTCCTATAATCGGCATATCATCTGGACTACGACAAGGTGACTTTCTCGGGGACGGAGTGGCGGAGAATTGCTTAATCTCTTCCTCCGTTAAAGCACCTAAAATAGGCCTATCTTCAAGGCTCATCACAGAATTCGATCCTTGATGTGAGCCGCTCCTATCAGGAGTACCAAAACTACCACCAGCATACAAACAAGCCTTGTTAACAGGAGCAGTCTCTGATGAACCCATCACACAATTTGATCCTTGATGTGAGGCACTCTTATCAGGAGAACCAAAACTACCACCGGCATACAAAGTAGTCTTATTAACAGGTGTAGTCTCTGATGAACCAAGCCAATTTGAAAGGCTGGCATCCACTGCAATTTCCTTGTTCGACTTCTTTGGTGTGTCAGATTCTGAGACTTCTTTAACGCCAAATGCAACCTGTGATTCAGGGTTGGAACAAACATAATTCTCTTTCTGAGGCCTTAATGTTGGTCTCCTTCTAGCCTTAACAGCTTTCCACTGAGAGAGATTTTCAACTGGGTTCAACACAGGATGAACATAAAGACTCCTGTCTCTAGCATTAGGGGTGAATCCAATAGTCTCCACATCCTTTTCACAAACAGGAATAGGACTCTCCACCTCCTCAGCAAACACATGATCAACATCATCTATCACCCTCGACTTTGAATAAGCCATTTCATCTTCTTCAAACTCCACACCCAATTCATCACACTCTTCTCTAATTCCATCATCCTCATCCTCATCACTAAGATCATCAACCCAGTCATCAATTTCTTCATCTTCCTCATCGCTATCCCTGCAATTCTGGTACCTATGATTAGAAGGGTAAGATCCAGTTGAAGTCACAGAACTATCTTCAGAAGAAAATGACTTTGATTGAGTTGCTTTAGCCAAACTTTCTTCCTTTCCACCTTCAGTATCCTTCTCAGACAAAACACCTTCAGTATCCTTCTCAGGTAAAACAGATTCATATGTTTTCACATTAGAATCAAAAGTTACTTTCTTTTTTAAGCCATCACTTACTTCCTCTTCAGTTTTATCCCTAAATTAAACACACAAAATAAAGTAAAAAAACAACAAATTCATAAAAATGAGAAGCTTCCAAAAATAGAAAGGATGAATGAAAATGAAAACCAATGCTTACTGTTGTTGTAGTAGTGAAGGGCTAACAAGGGTTTCTGAGTGAACCTGAACCAAAGGTAGTACTACACTTTGTTGCTCTGGCTCGCTACTACCATTTTCCTGCAACAGATTAAGTTATAGGGTTAAAAACATTCAAAACCTTAGCTCTATTTGTCTGCTGAGAAAACATAGGAAGCAAACAACAAAAATGGGCAATGCAAAATCAAATTTTGATCTGAAATAAGAAATCAAAGAAACAAAAATAGAAAATCTTGAGATTCTTGAAGATGTTTAGATGAACAAAAACTAAAAGGACTTTGAAAACTGAAAACACTTACTTGAACTTTGGGGGTGAGTTTTTTGCGTTTAGAGGAACCAAAGCAAGCGAAAAAAGAACAACCCATGAAGAAGTAATGGCTCAGAGAAAGATGAAGGTTTGGTTAGCGAGTGACATGAAATAGAAGAAGAACAAGAGAAGAGCGTGTTTAAGCTTGGTTGATGGGGTAGAGTCTGTAGGGACAGAAACTGTCACTAGACATGATAAAATGGTGGAAAAAGCGAAAAGTTTCAAAAAGTTTTACGCAATTTCCCAATTTTATTTGTTTAAAATTGAAACTAACCGTTACTAGTCTTTGTTGAGTTTGTTCTTCTTTAGTTATCTTATCGAGGAATTTATTGTTATTATTTAATGATTAATGATGATGATGATTTCGTATCTGACCATTAAAAAGAAGAAACGGACAGATGAAAGCTGTCTTTCAGCATCTCCAACAACAAACTCAATTTTGGGTTCTTTGCAGGAGCTATTAATCTATATCAATTTGAAGCAACTTAACTAATTTTTCATTTTAATTGTGCAATTCTGAAAAATTTATATTGGGTTTCACAACTTTATTTTATATATTAATATTTTATTTATATTAAATTTTATACCACTTAAAATAATAATTTTAATTTTTTACAAAAAATTATTTCAATCTACTATATAGTCCAACGAGTATATAGTGTTGTTTTAAGAAAAAATATTTCATTATACTATATAAACTTTAAAAAAATTAGATTAAACTTAAAAAAATATTTCAATCTCTCCTTAGTTAATTTTAGTGTTTTAAATTAAATTTGATATAAAATAAAAAAAAATAAATTAAACTTATAATTTAAAATAATAATTAAAATTAATTTCAAATACATGATATATAATTAAAAACAATAAAAATAAATAACATCACATAATTAATCAAACTTAAATTTCATCATCTTCATGTCCAAAACGTTCCCAAATATATTCGACTAGATCTCCTTGAAGTTTACGATGTACTTGTTTTTCTTGAATACTTGCTCTTCTTTGTAGTCTTTTTGCAAGATTCGGATGAGGACCGCTAAATGTTTCAGTTGTTGAGTTATTGATATCCATATTATCATAAGAGTAATCAAAATTACCTCCATATGTATGTCGTTCGTCTTCCACAATCATGTTGTGCAATATGATGCAGGCATATATGGTATGCTTGAGAGTGTCCATGTGTCAGGCACGCGTTGGGCCACGTATAATTGCAAATCGAGATTGAAGCACTTTAAATGCTCGCTCCACATCTTTTCTAGCCAATTCTTGATGTTGAGCAAATAATTTTTTCTTTTCTCCCTATGGCATTGAAATAGTCTTGACAAATGTAGCTCACTCGGGATATATACCATATGCTAAATAATACCCCATATTAGATGGTGTCTCATTGATTGTATATTGCACATTAGGAGCACGTCCTTCCAAAATATCGTTAAACACGTTGGATTGGTTTAGCACATTAATGTCATTGTTTGAACCTGCAATACCAAAAAAAGCATGCCAAATCCATAAGTCTTGTGATGCCACTGCTTCAAGCATGATTGTGGGCTTACTATGATCACCTCGACAAAATTGTTCTTTCCATGCAACAGGACAATTTTTCCATACCCAATGCATACAATCGATGGAACCCAACATACCTGGAAAGCCACGTGACTCTCCCATTTGTAAAAGATGTTCAACATCAGTGTTGTTAGGCTTTCTCAAATACTCAGCGCCAAATACAACATTGACACCCTTAACAAATCTTTCTAAGCACTCAATTGAAGCGCTTTCACCGATTCGAGCATATTCATCTACAAGGTCATCAGGAGACCCATACGCCAACATACGAATAGCAGATGTACATTTTTGCAATGCTGAAAGACCCATTTTACCTGCTGCATCGACCCCCATTTGGAAATATTCATCATGATTTCCAAGGGCATCTACAATTCGAATAAATACATGCCTATGCATTCTGAACCTTCTTCGGAATTGAACATCTGTCTATACTGGGTTTTTCGAGAAGTAGTCATTGAATAATCGATTGTGCCCTTCTTCACGACCTCGATCTACCGTTGTTCTTCTCTTTGGCCTAGAGGAACTTCCAGATCGACGTTCATTTTAAAGTGTTGTTCTTCATCACTGTCGTCCATAAATTCTTCTTCAACCAACTCCCAAAGTTCTTGATCGTAAGTATCTGAATTGTCTGAATCCATTTAGTGAGTAAAGAATGAGAGAAAAATGAGAAGAATAAGATGAGAATGAGAGAACAATGACATAAGTGGTAGGATATATAATGGCTAGTTTGAATAACGGCTAGTTTGAATAACGGCTAATTTAAATTAAAGTGGTAGTTTGAATAACGGCTAATGACAATTTTACATAGGTGTTGATAAATTAAAGTGGTACTAATGACCATTTTACATAGGTGTTGATAAATTAAAGTGGTACTAATGACCATTTTACATAAGTGATACTAACTACATTCCATTTTTTTTTCATCTTATTACAATATTTTTCATGAATATCTCGTTGACTATCGTTCATAGTAGAAGTGTCTTTCATCATCATTTGCACTACCCTTAATTCTAGCTCGTCCTCCTTAGCTTGTGCAAGTCTGTCCATTGTTATTGCTCTTTTGTTCTCTGCATCTTGCGTTGCATTTGAAATTTCTGATGCCTTACCCTTCCTTTTTGTTGCTTTTTGTCCCATTGGACGCTCCATTGGTGATGATGAGTTAAACTCATAACTTGAAGTTGTATATGGGTTCTCCGATGATGCCCCACTAGCATAAGTCTTTGTAATTTTTGCAGAACTTCCAATCGATTCTTCGACGATGCGCCATTTAACTTCATCTTTTAACAATCCCCATGTATACTCAAGATTGAATGTTGTACCTTGATCCTGAGCAAAAATAGCATGTGCATTTGTCATGACATCGGTCTCGGATGTCCCACTTTTCTTTCCTTTAAGAGCAATTTTGTAACACCCAACAAATTTTTGAACCATGCCATTTATTCTATGCCATCGACATTTTAACTGTCCCCCTAACTTTTCCCGCAATTGTCCACAATATTGGTTATAACTAGCAGCAATTCTTAACCAAAAATTCTCAGCCTTTTGATCAACTCCTAGAATTGGATCCTTTGAAACATTGAGCCATGATTAGATAAGTAGTATATCCTCTTCCCTTGTAAATTGCTCTCGAGATCGTTTTTTAACGACAACCCTTTCTTCTTTTTCAGTCCAACTTGAGTACAAAATGGTGGGACTTGAGTAGAAAATGGTGGAACTTGAGTAGAGAATTCCATACTATTAGATTTCATTTGAGTTATAGGATACATATTTGGATTGTTTGGTGACGGAAGAAATATGGCGGGGTTTGTTGGCACTAGTGGAATTTGAGAATTTTGAGGATTAGGATTTTGAGAATTTTGCATGTAATTGAAAAAAGCTTGTTGATAATGAAAATGATTAGGATCCATTTGGCCTAAACAATTGAAATTTGAAGTAAAAAGATAAAATTTTGAGTTAAATATTTTGTAAAAAAAATGCTAATGAGAAAAAATTGTTGAAAAAAAATTAAAAGTATAGGAATAAAATGATGAAATTGTGAGACAGAAATTTCAAATTGAAGAGAAAATAAAAGTGAGAAAATTTGTGTTGGTAAATTTTTGGAAACCAAAATTATATTTATAATAAAAAATAAGTTTAAGAAAATAAAATAAAAAAATAAGTAGCCATTGAAACGGCTAGTTTTTATTATATTTATTATATTTTAATACATTATTTAATGCAAATAAGTAGCCGTTGAAAGTGTGTCGTACGGTTGAAAAGGCATTGCATCGTTGCTTCATTATGCAACGTCCGCCAACTTGGAATGTCTTTCAGTAATATTTAATGCAAATAAAATATGTCATGCTGGTGAACTAGAATGAGAAACCAATGCTGGAGTTGGTCTTAGTCTTCCGCGGGTACAGCTCAGCAAGGGTTTCCTACACACTCACTCCATGCCTACATTATTTTAAGAGTACAATATTTTAGCAATAATTATTAGGGATAAATATGTTTTACATTTTTAGTTTTATAAATAGGTCAACATTTAATTTTAGTCTTTTTTAAAAAAAAATTAAAATAATGATTCTCACGTGTAAATTTTAATTGTCACGTTCTTTAAAATAAAACACTTTGCGTCTATTCTTTTACTTATGATTTAGGTTTTGCACTTTATCGCGATCTCTCTCCTGATCTTGCTTCTGTCTCGATTTGGATCTTGCTCCCACTTTCGATCTTTCTCATGATCTCACTTCCTCTCAATTTGGATCTTTCTTCAGATCTCAGTTTCTCTCTCTATTTGGATATAGCTCTCACTCTCGATCTCACATTCGCGTAAAGGTATACACCGTTGCTCTCTCATTAATCTCCATTGTCTCTCTTCAATATCCATGTGATTTAAGTTGTCTTTGATCTTTAGAGTGTTTTTTTTCATATTCATGAATTTCTTATTTTTCCCTTTTCTATGCATCATAACCCACAACAACCATATTTAGAATTTTTCTTATTGCTTTTGTATATAGTGTAAGAAAATCCCTACAAACTAATTGGTTTTTTCTTGGTATTGTCTTTCTTTTGATTTTGTCTTTCTAGATTTTTGAGAGGCAACCACATGTTTGATGAAATGCCTCAATGAAGTGATTATTATTTTTAGGCAATTGTTGATTCAGTTCTAGATAAGTAATAAGATTGGTTTAGATTTCTTTTCCTCCAAAAATAAAGTGAAATCCGGAACAAATATAGTGTGTGGTTATTGAGTTCTGATGCAGGGTGTGTCATGAGAAAATTGGAACAATGCTAACTCTGATGCTTTTTATGTTATATAGAAGTGAAAATTCAAGCATAATACTGCTACTAATAAAGGTAGAACAATATATAGACTGTGTATATTGTTAAGGGTAGTCTTAGTTATAGATTCGGTGATTCGGTGATGTGATTTTAGGTTCAAACATTGTAGGTTTATGGAACTATCAATGAAATCATTGAGATGCTATCTTAGTATATTTTTATCTGAAAAAGATT